GTGCAATACGCCTCAGTTTAGGGGTACTGAAAGGACTTTCACTTCCCCCTAAATAGCTCTGTCAGCAGCTTAGTTCTGTTGCTTGAAACATTTTCCTTATAATCTTTCTATTTTCGATCTAAGAAACAATTATGAATGGGAGAGGTACTCAGAATTTGAGGTAACTCTACGGGGTAAATGAGTATACTTGTTAAGATCTTTTTTAAAAAAAAACATGAGATACTATGCAACAAAAATGAACTTAAGACACACTCAGAATCATTTAAAAGCAGTCAGGGTTTTCATGTGACCCAAAAATGGGAATATAGATGAGTTTCAGGAACCAGGTAGATCAGGGACCCGAATCTATCCAAACTCTCTCCTGAGCACATCTCATTTCCTAACTCTCTTTCCTCATCTCTTTTTGTCTCTTTGCATAATCTCTCCCAGATGGTTTCTTCCAAGTTTCCCATTAATTTTAGATATTTTTGCCCATAAACAGCAATTGAGCTTATATGTGTTGCAGTTTCAGACACTCAATTCATGAATTCTAACCATTTTCAGTTGCAAAATTATTTATCCTGTGTATCAAGAGTGGCCCTGTAGGTCACAGTGTGATACCTGCAAAGAAGGAGTGTGTGCAGTAACCATGGTGTGTGTGGTGTGGGGTAATTCCAAGGAAACAGAAGTTCCTGAGAACTATGAGAACACTCATGTTTATTTGGCTGCGAGTGGGAAATTTGCACAACGTGTCATAGGGCTCTTGTGCCTGGGAATTTGTAGTTGACCGTGGATTCACCACTTGGTGGTGCAGTGTGTTGGCCATGCTGAACCTTGTCGGCCACCGACAGTGTGAAGATCCCTGAGGTGGAAGCTCCACTCTCCTAAAGCTTGTAACTTGGGGTGAAAATGGTCCTCAGCTTCATGTTCCTAAGCAAAACTCACCTTGGAAAGTCTCAGTTTCCTTATTTGTCCCCAAATGTGGTGCAAATATCCTCTACTAGTCCCCCCAACTTTCCTTTTCAACTGGTTAATCAACCTGACTTTCAGACATTCTTTACCTAATGAATAACATGCCACTTCAGACTTTATATATTTGATTGATATGAATTTTCTCTTTTCCCATAAAGCTGTGTTTTTTATTTACAAAATAAATTATATCAATGTGGACATCACTTGTCTTTGTTCTGCTAATCTCTGCCTTTAGTTAAAATGTTTAGTTCATTATGTTTAATATTATTGCTAATATGGCTAGACTTAAGTCTATTATTTTATTATTTATTTCACTTTGCTCTATTTTTTTGCCTTCATGTTCTATACTTATTTTTTTTTAGTAATTTTACTATTCTTCAAAATTTTAATTTAATTTAACTGTTATATTTGTAGCAATGACATTTTGCATTATTTTGAAGTGGGTGCTTTATAAATTATAGTATACTTGCTTAAAATCTTCATTATCTACTTAATATTAACATTATACTGCTTCATATAAAATGTAGAAACCTTGTAAGTAATATGTTTTTTTCTCCCTCTTCATTTATTATGGTTTAGATGTGAGGTGCTCACACCTCATGTATGATCCACAGCAAGAAAGTTCAGAGGTGAAATGACCTGATTATGAAAATGTCAATCTAATGAGTTCATTAGTCAGGAATTAATTCATCCCCTACCAGGGATGAATGCAGGTAGGGTGTGGCTGGAGAGGTGGGTCACCGTGGGCTGCCTGTGGTGTTCATATTTTGTCCTGGTTGAGCAGAGTGGTCTATTTTCTCTCTGCTCCCTGGTGTGATGTCCTGAGCCACTTTTCTGCCTCACCCTGGCTGTCTATGGACTGAGACCTCTGAAACCATTAACCCCAAAATAAACTTTTCTTCTTTAAAAATTCTTCTTCTCAGGTCTTTGGTTAAAGCAGTGAAAAAGCTGACTAAAACACCATTACTTATTCTATAGACCTTATTTTTTAGAACAATTATATATTGACAGGGAAACTGGAAAGAAAGTATGGGATGTTTTTACATATTCCTCAACACACGCATAGCTGCCCCCCTTAGCAGCATCTCCAGTGACGACCCTATATTTCTATGTCATGATCACCAAAGGTCCCAATTTACCTTGGGGGTCAGTTTGGCTGGTGTTCCTTCTATAAGTTTGGACAAATGTTAAGGTCTGTAAACAAGTCAAAATAACACCTGGTATTTTGCCAGGGGAATGTTAGAGTTCGTAAACAAGTCTGGATGGTGCCTGGCAAAATGCCAGAGGGAGTGGTTTGAGAAGTAACAAAAGCGAGCCATTAAGTGTGGAGATTCCTTATTGGTTGACTGATGTATCTAGTTTATGCTAATTAAGATAAGCTGTGCAAAATGTATAAATAGCTCTGTTGTCCTACAATAAACGGCTCCCACTCCTGCTGTATCAATCTACAGAAGTTATTTGTCATCCCCCGGGTTATTTTGCTGCAGCTGGACTGCGGCAGACAAACGTACACCAACAACAAACTTGAGGGGCTATCGAAAATTCTGCTTTGGAAATTTCATGTCTGAGAGTTTAACTAGCCACATCAGAGGGAATCGGGTCAGCATTAGAGAGTTCAGGGGAGCATTGAGTTCTGGAGATAAAACTATAAAGCTTTATCACACAGAGTCATAAAGATGGAGTTAAGATTATGGGACTGGATGAACTGTGAAAAATATTTAGTCTGAGGAGGACTGAGACAGGATGTATGTCATGCTAACAACTAAAGGCCTAACAGGGCAAGAAGAGGAAATGCTGACACAGGAGTCCTGAGGGTGTAGTCAGAGAGTTGCAAAGGAACCAGGAGAGTGGTGTCACCCAGAGCAAGAGGACACCCCCTGCACATGGTTAAATGACAGTGGAAGAGTTTGTGAAGGAAAAAATGTGAGCAGTATGAGAAAAGAGAAATGGCAGTCTATGGATAGAACGTTATGGAGAAAAGCTGGGTTTAATGGGTGAAGAAAGGATCAGGAAGGAAATCAAGACTCATTTGAAGACAAATGAACCAGAATAGAATACAACTAAAGGAAGTCAAACACACACACACACACACACACACACACACACACACACACACGGGTCCAAGGAGAGAGCACCCTCTGGCAAATCCAACAGAGGGGTCAAGTAGACCCCAGCAAAACAGTCATTGGACATGACCATTGGGTCCCTGATAACTTGAGTGACATCACTGTTTGAAAACCCTGGAGGTGTATGGAATTGGAGTGAAGGAAGGAAGGGAGGGCAGGATGGGGAGACAGCTCCCCAAAGAGAATACATCTTGTCTTTCTGTACCCCATGGTTGTAGAGGGTGCACCATCTTCCGCTTCATGTTGCCTCCTCAGTAAACATTTTGATCTATGGACACAGGTTCATAACCTGTGACGTCTATTCTGGGGTAGATCTGCTAGTTGCTGCTACTTTGCTTTGCATATGATGATTAACTATTTAGAAGGAAATCCTCTTTGTACCTTTCTGTCCTTGTCTGGGTAATGGGCACCATACTGCCCAACTTTCAATTGTTATGCAGACTTACTCTTTTTAAGCATTTACAAAATCATCGTAAGCATTATAATGAGTGTTCATTAAACAAATTCTAAAGCTTACTGTTAACAGAGTTATTCTGTTAGATCAAGCATTACGGAGCGAATATGAACCCTAGAACAATACGTAGAAGAGGATATTAGGGTACAAGATTGCTCAGGGAAGCAGAAAAACATAATTAGATCATTATAAGTTCATTGCTAGCTCAGGGCAGGCCAGGAGACTTGCTATTGACCTCTCTGTTCCCCTGCGTGTCCTTTGTGTCTCTTTCACCAACACTGTGGTTACATCATTGCCTGGCACGATGAACACTTTCCTGGCTCCTCCAAGGCCTGGGTGTCAGGCAGCTCCCAGAGAGGGTCCCCAGGAGGTGCTCTCCTGTCTTACAAAGGCACCATCTGAGCATGAGGGGGAAGGAGGGCACAGAGAGGACGCACTGAGCTCCTGACCACCTCAGCATCCCCTGTCCTCAGGGAGTGAAGAGGCCCCCACCTAAGGATGTGGAGTCTGAGAGGGGTAGCAGAAGCCACAGCTATGTTGTGCCTAGGAACTCTGTGTCCTACATTTCTACTCAGATTTTCTTCTGACCATCCATTACCATTTGTGGGACGACAGAGTGAAGCCAACAAGGATTGAAGGGAGGAAGAAATGGTGCTCTTACCCCTTTCCGAGACAAGGAGCCTTGACTCATGGGTTGAAGTCCCCATGAACAGGTGTAGGGTGTCACTGCATCTCTTATCCAGAAGAGCTTTGGATCGGGGGACATGGGCCAGACAGAAAGCTAATGCAGAGTCCTCCCCTGGCTCTTTCAAGTTTTCTTTTCTTGGAAGCAGATGGAGTAGCATGCTGTAAGAGACCATCGCCAGAAGGACACACTGGAGTTGCACAGTGGTACCCGGAACACGTAACTAACTGCTCACTTATGGGCGCATCTGGGAGGGAGAACGTAAAAGTTGACCAAGAGAACAGAAGCAAGGTTTTAGGGATAAGCAAGGGGAGGTGGGAAAAAGGCAGGAAGGAATCAGTGGGTCTTAGGAAAATCCAAACCCATGCTCCAGGTAGGTGAAATAGAATCAGAGCTGGAAGGGTGTAGAGGGTCGGGGAAGGCGTTGGGCAAGGGGAGGCACAGGAGGGTGTGGGGAGCTGGTAGCGCTTCAGCAATCGCCTTCGTTTCTGCCTGGTTTACATCTCACATGACTCCAGGCTTCTGAACTAATGCAAAAAGTCAAACCAAACCAAAGCACAACAGAAAAACCCGGTTGTGCTCTTGTCCGTGTTCCTTTAAAAAAATGTATGAAGAAAGAAATAAAGTGTGTGTGGGGAGAGAGAGAGAGAGAGAGAGAGAGAGAGAGAGAGAGAGAGAGAGA